TCAAAAAAAGATGGCGGCGCCCAGCTGACGCCGGTACCGGGCCGCGGCGCCCAGCTGATGCCGGTACCGGGCCGCAGCATAAAAAAGGTTGGGGATCACTGTTCTAGTCCAACCCGCTCCTCAGGCAACAACCCCTCCCCGGCCTATACCATTTCAGACAAATGCTGTCTAATCTCTTCTTTAAAACCTCCAGCATTAGAGCACTAACAACTTCAGAGGCAAGTCGTTCCATTGATGAATTATGCTAACTGCCAGAAAATTTCTCCTTAGTTCTAGGTTGGTTCTCTCTTGATTAGTTTCCATCCACTGCTTCTTGTCTTGCCTTCAGGTTGACCTTTTCTTCTTTCTGGTAGCCCCTTAGATATTGGAACACATTGCAATAGTGAACGAGTACTGTGGTCTCTTCAGGAATTCATACCTTTAATGTTTAGATTTCATTTTGTTCATATGATCCAATATGATGTTAAATACATTTTTTAAAAAGAACATGTTTGGGTAAAACTTTTAGAGAAAAAGATACCAACAAACAAAGACACTAAAAATGAATTAAAACAGTAGAGCAAATTATATACTTTGGGACTAGTATTGTATGTAACCACCTTACGAAAAGGACCATGATTAAATAGATTAGACATAAGTACAAATGGTAAAAATCTGCTTTGTTAAATGGAAATGCTTTATTGAAAACCTACTCACATACACTCTGAATTTCACTGATTTGATGTTTATATATATATATATATACATACACACACATGTATATACACACACATACACACACACACACATAAACTATTGAGACAGGAAAAACATTTCCCCCACATATGGTGTTGAATTTAAAACAAAACGACAGCAGTGAAAACTTGGATCTGCAAATCACTTTTGCAAAAAGGAAGAGTTAACAAATCTAGTTAAGTACTATTTACACTAATTTATTTAATATTTATCACTCCTCTCTGTTTTAAAAATATTAAAAGAATCTGACAGCAATTGAACAAGAAATTTGATAGTCAGCAATATAAGACTTTGTATTAGGTATGCTTTAGGTAACAGAAGCAAAGACATTTTGGAGTCCTACTCTGAACTGCTTTATTTATTTATTTTTGTCAATTGCTTACAAGATAATAGGTATAAATAAAAACATAGTTATGAATACATGTAAGAAAAATAAAAAAAATAAAAGAAACAATAGGACAAGGGACAGTAAGCACGTTGGTGCGCTTATGCACGCCCCCTACAGACCTCTTAGGAAAGGGGTGGCATTTGTGCTCCTGCCTGAACCCAACCCAATTTAGTTGCATAAAGTGGTGCCTGAAGGAAAAACTATGAAGGTTGGAGTAATAAGTGGACAATTTCAGATCGTAAGAAAAGATGAAGACTCATTTGACCAAACAAAGGGTGTGCTACAATGGATGGTAGAGAAAGCAATTCTACTTAAGACAGTCAAACAGAGCAAATTATGTAGATGAAAAGGCTAACAGGGTAAGGGATATGTAAGATATTTAGTATTGCAAGAATTTAGAAACTGCTTTCAGACCCCCACAATAGAAATAGGTTCTGAGTTTGCAAAAATGGGAAAAAAATCATACTGCTAAACAGGAGATAGGAAGGTGGAACCCAGAAGATGCAGCTTTGTAAAAAGGTGAAGAAACAAGGTAATTGGTGACTGATTCTCCAAGAAAACAAATTTATATCGATTGGAACCATTAAGTATCTGATCATGGATATGATAGATAAATCTCAAAGAGTACTGATAGTTATCCCTTTCTGCTAGTCCAAATGGACACTAGTGATGTTACCAAGAGTAGTTATAACATCATGGACTATGAAGATTTGAAGAGGTTCAGAATAATAGTACTCAACTGATATTCTCATCCATCTTCTCTACCCAGATAACAGAGCCTTAAACAACCAATCGAGAGATAAACAGAAGATTTTTGGTTTCTTGGAACACAGACTGAATTTTTTGGTGATGATTACAGGCGTGAAATGGTTGGTACCTGACCGGACAAATACTATTTGATTAAAGTATGCCAGGTTTAATTAGAGAGACTTGAAACTGAATCCAGGAGGCTGAAGATTAAAATGCTGAAGAAAAATTATCAGGTACAGAACTGTGCAATACAGAAGGATGTTAGGGGGTTGCTTTAATGGGATCAATTAAATCCTTAAATTAAAAAACAAACAGAAGAAATATTGGCTCATAAAAATCATGCTATTTATTTCCCATGTTCGTGAGTCACTAAATCAGTAAGGCAAATAAGGCCTAATATTAATAATAGATCTAGTGCAATGATTCCTGCAATTACAATACACCCACTCTTTGTTTAGCAACTTCTTCATTTAGCACACATTTGCAAATATCGCAACAATAAAAAAACCCATCTGATCAATATGTGCCTGACAAAAATACATTCTAGAATGAGAGTAACACTGGCATAGTTGTATGAGAACTTAATTTGTGTGAGACTGTAATACTATTCGTTCAAAAGGACTGCAAAAACATCTTTTCAGGTTTCTGAACTCTTAAGATACTGTGTCATTATCACTTAGACCATAATGCTTTAAAAGTCAAAATAAAACCGGGGGATTTTCAGGCTTGATACAGCTGGAATGTGCATGGAATTATTAGCATTCTTCAGTCCTCTGATTTCTAAAGCCAGAACATAATTCTCACATTAAAGGTGGGGGGGGGGGGGAAATGCATTAAAAGCTTGCTAGATTCATATAATCTCAGATGAACTCGAATTATGATGGGATAAATCAAGCTTGAAACGCTATTTTAAGAGCTTTCATTTGCAGGGCCGTCCTTTCTGCTTCTGGGAAATACTAGATTGAACTAAAAGATAAAACAGGAACATACAATTGAATTCAATTCATCCTCCACAGAAGTTGCCTCATTTTGTTCAGTGAGTTCATTCCCCCATAAGCCTGCAAACTATCGAAGTGCTCATGTTGTAAAAACACCTTGGATTGGAACAATCACCATTTATCAGTCTATTTAAAGGGAAGGGAAATAATATTTAATGGTTTAAAAACAGCGGACTATTGTGTTTTGTAGAGCTGAATTAAGTATTCTAAATGGCAAGATGTTACTTAAAGCAGTTACTGCAGTCAAAGCTGAGAAGACAGAGAGTGGCTGTACTGACTGTACTGTTCCAGTGTAATACAGCAGCTTACTATTAGTCTGCTTTGGGACCTAGGAAGAACTTAAGGGGAAATGTGTCATTAAAAATAATAAACAAGTTCAGGATTGTTAGGTAAGAAAATAAAGATTATAAAAACTTTGACACTGCTATTAGTCCTACTACAGTCAACTTTTTACTTACATTTCCAATACCATGACAATGTTAGCTTTCTCTTCAAAAGCATCCACCAACTGGACAAGTTTTGGATGGTGCAGACAGTTCATTATGCTGATTTCTTGCCTTATGTTTTCTTTATCCTTAGCTGAATACGCTTTAAAAAATTTTCCTGCCCAAACTTTTCCACCTTTTTTCTCAACAAGCCGGAAAACTTGTCCAAATTTACCTCTGAAAAATATAGAAAAAAAATCCCAATGAAATGAAAATATGTAACACAGGAAAACATGCTTTCTGGATGCCCCAGATTCTAGGGTTTAAGATGATTAATGTGGTTCTTATGCTCAGTTGACAGGTATTAGCCAGAATCAGCATGCTTGAATTCACAGGCAGACATGAAAAGGCAAGAGTTATCGGAATGTGGAAACTGCCCTACAACAGTTCTGATTTTTTTGTACTTGCCTATATAGCACACTTTTTTTTACAATAACTAGCAACAGCCCTTGCAATACTTAATATCAGATATCTTAAAATTAGCACACCAAGTATTGAACTTGGAGACCTTAATGTGCAAAGCACAGACTTTTCTGTTAAGCAACACAATAATTAATCTAGTAATAAAAGGATTAAAATGTAATTGGAATATGTAGGAAATTTCCCGATTACAAAAGATGTGGAGAAACAAAAAAAGTCCTTTGATCATTGAATATTCTGAGTAAACCAGAGGGGAGGAATCCTAAACAATTTCTTTGTGAATTCTCTACCATGATCTTGAAATCTAGCAGATTTGCCCTTCTACAGAGAATTGACTTTTCAGAAAGAATGGAGTTGCAAATCTGATAAAATGGATTAGATTTCAACAATAGGATGCATGTCAGAATATAGATGGGTGCCAACCAAGGAGATCCATTTGGACCCACTAAATCTTTCCTTTCTCTATGAATGATGAACAGTTTTTCACAATAGCTGTTTATACATTCTCTTTAATTTAAGGGAAGAGAGATTGTAACTATATTATGGCAATAGAACTACTTATCTTAGGGTAGTATTTAAAAGTTTGCAGAGTACTTGGAGAGTTCTTGAGACAAAGAATAAGAGCCAATGTCAGGGACCAGTTTCATCTTGTCATGTTTGTCACTGGGCTAAGTCTGTTCCTGGAAAGTCAACCAACTTGTTCCAGTCTGCGCCTTCTGACATCAGAAATACATTACTGATCTTCCCTCTGTGCAAGGCTACACAAGAATTCCAGTAGTGGTGGATTTATTTACAAAGATGGCTTATTTTATTCCTTGCAAGGGCCATTTATTGGATATGGAAACAGCGCTTTTAGATCATGTTTTTAGATACAGACCATGCTTTTAGGTGCAGGAATTAATTAATTGTGTGATCTCAGATTGCAGGTCTCAATTTATATCTAAGTTTTGGAAGTTTCTTCCACCTGTTGCTGTAGACATTTAAGAATCATTTGTCATCTTCAAACCATCCAGTCTCTAATGAGTTTATAATGAGCCAAATATTAGAACAACACTTGAGGTGCTATGTTTCTTATCAACAGGACAATTGGATTGAATTGTTACCTCAGTTGATTGTAACAATTGAGTGCATTTCTCCATATGTATATGTGTCTTTCAGGAAACCTACATCTAAGTAGCTTACCTAGTATATACTGCACAGCAGGAGAAACTTTCCAGTGCCATTTGATGTTGTACAGCAAGATTTGTCTTTTGGGTAGGTAAAAGGTTTGGGTAGGTGTTACGGTGCCAATCACACTGTCATTAGTGTGAACCAGTGAATATATTCTCTGTTTCTCCAAAAGCTGAACTGTCACTGGCAGTTGCCAAAATGATCTCTTCTATATTTAGCTTCAGAACAATTCCATAAAGTTAAATCAATTGATTGGTAAATGAGGAAGACAGAATGTTTTTTTTTATTCTTGTTGATATCTGGGAAATCTATGCCTTCTTACATCACAAACTGTAGCTTAATTTTTTAAAAATAGTATCAATAAAAAATAACCCATACCTATATCTTTCACATCATATTGAAAAATTGTCCATTTGGCAATATAGGAAACAAACCTTATGGCAGCAAGGTTGTAGAATCTGATTAAAAAGCTAATTACTGAAACAGACCAAAAGGTCCAATTTTATTGTTCCCAATTAACTGTAAAATTATTATCATTTGATGACTGCAAATATTAAGATGACACACTCATTTGGTAGAAAATTATTTGAGTATGAATAAGAAATAAGATACACCTTAGAAACTCACTTAACATGCATTTAAAATAGAATAGCACTGGCAATAGATTTTTAATGAGTCAATGTATTTTTTCAGTAAAAAGGGAAAACACGTTATACTTACGATCCCAATCTTTCTTCAACATGGTAGAATTCTGAAACTTTTTGTTCTGTATTGATAGATACTGTCCGATAATAAATTTCTGTTTCTTTCTCTTCTACAATTTAGTACAAAAATATTTAATTACAAAAAATTCCCTTATATACTATAAATCCCATATTTTGCATTAGTCAAGGTCTTACCATCATCAGATCCTTCAGCTTCTTCTTCTTCTTTAGGGCCTAAAAAAACAGACATATATGTATATATATGCCACTTAAGAGTCATAATCCACCTTGTCTACTTCCCTGTTTTATTTCAAATGCCTTGTGACTCCTTTCTGGAATAAGGCACTTATGCACACTGAACTTGTTCTGAAGTTTGGAGGTATGCAATATTGTTGAACTGCTTTCCTATGTACTGTGATCTGCCCAATGACCAATCCATGAACATTTTCATGGTTGCCAATATGCTGGAAATACTGAAAGGAAAAATTTTAACTCCTGATCATTTAATGGGAACACCTAACTCCTGGCTATTGTTGGCAATATAATTTGAATTCTTATTTGGGCACATCAGATTTGTAAGCTTGATCTTTTTTCTCCCAACATATGCTTTGCAAATAGGTTCCCAAACTGAATTTTCCTTCTCCCTCATCTTACAAATTTATGTTGTTTTACCAAAATAAAAAATATATATTAATGCAAGATATATTCTTTTCCTTATATTATTCCTCCACTCCAAGCAGAGACATTGTATAGCAGCTTTACTAACAACATATTATTTGTTTACTTTTTTTTAGAAGAAAGCTTTTGGGTTAACTTTCTATAAGCACTTTTGCACATGGTATTTGTTTTTAAAAAATTAGCTTCGTTATTGCAACTCTCATCCTATTTATATCTCTTAAGATACCATTTATGGGAAAGAGCTACAGTACAGTGACAGAATAGTGTGATTTGTATGCAGGTTAGCAGTCACCAGTTATGAGGATCAGATGGCTATTCATGAGAAAGCTTCTGTTTGGGACAGTCAGAGCAGACAGTAATTATCTGATCTAGCTTAAGACAGTATCTTGTGAAACTACAGACCAAAAATAAGCTTTCCAAATTCTTTTATGAGGTTTATAAATTAATATTTGGTATTTATTTTAATAAATGTTATAAATATAAAATTGTCACTATCATGTAGAGGACACCTGAAGACCTTCCACTGCTCCAAAACTTCTTTTATTGCCAGGCATGATCAATCTTCATGCCATTTGCATATATCTGGCAGCATACCTGGAGTCTTAGCCTCACTTTTGAATGCAGGAACTAGTAAATGCTACACCATCAGTATCTTCTGAATGTTCCAATGTTAATGTAATACATTCTAAATAAAACTTGTATCTTGTATCTGAATGTTTATTTTATTTCATTATTACAGATTGTTGTGCTGAAGCAGAGCTATAATGCATGGCTTCCAAAGAAGGCTGGATTCAGATTAAACACATGCCTCAGGCTTGCATACAAAGTATAATCACATTTATTATATTTCCTTTTATAACTTAAAAAGTTCACAATGTTTTTTTCCACTGACAGGGTTGTGGGGAGGTTGCAGCACAGAAGAATCTTTCCTCTATATGGACCGTTCTTTAAAACAGTTGTTTTCCAGTTTTCCATTGCTTTCTTTCTTGAAATGAACACATTTTTGACAGTGAAATTATACAGTAAGTATTTCAGTGAGATTCCCTTAATGAAATCCTGAGTGATCAAAAAGTGAAAGAATCCTACAAATATATAAACTACTGCAATGTTTTACTCTAAAATAATACTATGAACTCTTTTATTTGGACTCAAATCTATAAATAGGGCATACAGAGTGTATCTTAAAAAGGAAACTGGATATTGAAACACATGATCCATTGTTTATGGGCTGAATGTAAAAAAAAATTCCCTTTAAAAAATAAAACAACTTGTTATTTCAAGTGCTTAAACCTGGCTTTCTGGAACTCTTCAGATACATTGGATTTCAATATTCAATCTCCAAATGGGGCTCTGCTGGTTGGCATTTTTAGAAATTGCTGTCCAAAACAGACTGAAGAAAGTTAATCTAAGATACTATTTGGGGGCTGTATTATCTTTGTTCAGCAAGTTATACAGTATCAATCATAAATGCATTTGAGTATGACTGAAATTTCCTGGAAAAGATGAAACCTGCACAAAAAATTTCTTCTGTGAAAAGTATTTTATGGCAAAGGACTGACGTTTTCAACGTGCAATGGATGAGAAACTTCATAATGAAATGAGAGATCAGAAGTTTTTTCTTCATGTTTTCAATGATCCTTCCTCTTCATGATTAATTTTGTTTTGCTGCACATTTACAATGTAATCTTACATAGGTAAAGCATTAAAGGAGCTACTTTAATCCTATGAACCAATCAAATGATGCCAAGGTATCTAAAAGCTAGGTACCTGCTGTGGAATATAAGCTTTGGAAATATTTCTTGTTCTATTCACCTTAAGCAGTAAAATCCTGTTGGGCGTAAGAAGTTGTGTTGTTTGTCATTAATTTTAATGAATTTTTCACCTTTTAGTAGAATAGAATAGAACAGAGTTGAAAGGGACCTTGGAGGTCTTTTAGTCCAACTCCCTGCTTAGGCAGGAAACCCTACACCACTTCAGATAAATGGTTATCCAACATCTTTTTAAAAACTTCCAGAGTTGGAGCATTCACAACTTCTGGAGGCAAGTTGTTCTAACTGTCAGGAAATTTCTCCTTAGTTCTAAGTTGCTTCTCTCCTTCATTAGTTTCCACCCATTGCTTCTTGTCCTGCCCTCAGGTGTTTTGGAGAATAGCTTGACTCCCTCTTCTTTGTGGCAGCGCCTGAGATATCGGAACACTGCTATCGTGTCACCATCCTTCTTTTCATTAGACTAGACATACCCAGTTCCTGCAACTGTTCTTCATATGTTTTAGTCTCTAGTCCCCTAATCATCTTTGTTGCTCTTCTCTGCACTCTTTCTAGAGTCTCAACATCTTTTTTACATCGTGGCAACCAAAACTGAATGGAGTATTACCACTGGCCTTACCAAAGCATTATAAAGTGGTATTAACACTTCACGATTCTATCCCTCTGTTTGTTTATGCAGCCTAGAACTGTGTTGGCTTTTTTGACAGCTGCTGCACACTGCTGGCTCATATTTAAATGGTTGTCCGCTAGGACTCCAAGATCCCCCTCACAGTTACTACTATTAAGCAAGGTACCACATATACTGTACCTGTGCATTTGATTTTTCTTCCCTAAATGTAGAACCTTACTTTTTTCACCATTGAATTTCATTTTGTTAGATAGCACCCAATGTTCAACTCCGTCAAGATCCTTCTGTATCTTAAGCCTATCTTCCGGAGTGTTGGCTATTCCTGCTAGCTTGGTGTTGTCTGCAAATTTGATGAATTCCCCATCTATCCCTTTGTCCAAGTCATTGATGAAGATGTTGAAGAGTACTGGGCCTAAAACAAAGCCTTGGGGTACTCCACTGCATACTTCCTTCCATGTAGATGCAGTTCCATTGAGGACTATGCATTGAGGCAGTTGGTCAGCCAGTTACAAATCCATCTGGTGGTGATGCTGTCTAACCCATATTTTTCTACTTTATTTAGTAGTAGGCTATGGTCTACTTTATCAAATGACTTACCAAAGTCCAAGTAAATTATATCGCAGCATTCCTCTGGTCCACTAATTTTGTCACTTTGTCAAAGAATGCAATAAGATTAGTCTGGCATGATCTGCTTTTAACAAACCCATGTTGGCTTTTGGTTATTACTTTGGATTGGATTAGATACTTTGGATTACTATTATTGGATTGTACGTGAGGCTTTTTGCTCCAATGTGTGATGGTTTTATTCCATCATATATTGACCAGGTAAGCAGGAGTATTATTTATAAACTAATAAACATAAAAGCAAAAACATTTTGTGATTATCTTTTTCCTCTGCCCTGTGCTAGATTGTTTTCTAAATAAACAGTCTTTTGAAAACAATCTGCTTTCAAGTTTTGGAGAGTCAGACTTCATATACAGAATTATATTTTTGACTAAACTGCAATACCTTGTTCTCAAAAACAGCCATTATCTGTCAATTCTTTGTTGATGTACATATAAGGAAATGGCACAGTCTGTACCACATCCTGGTCATGATAATCTAAAAATACTGTACTGTAATTCATAAGCCTCCCTCCATCCCAAGATCACAAAGCAGTCCTTTTTGAAAGATGTACATACCCCTTTCCATTAATAACGTAAAATATTTTATGCTTATTGTGTCAGTTACCATATAAAAGACCTGCAAAGTAATTCAGAACAGCATTTTAGAGATGGGAATTCGAGTTGTAAGGAAAAGTGGTTTATTATTATAAGATGCCTTATGGGCAACTGCTCCATAAAACTCAAGATTTGTCTTTGCCAAATATTAAAGGGAAAACAATATAACCTACTATTTAAGTATAGTTTACTAACGCCAAGCTATCTAATAACTCATAGCCAGACTAATGTTTAAATGATGAATTACGAGGAAGAAAGTGATGAACTGAATTTTTGCACTCTAACAGCAAAACTCTTTTACTTTGCCGAATTTAAAGTAGAAAGATAGCAACAAAGATTCAACTATACTTCATAAGACTAAAGCAAATATATCTTTCCTAAGACAATAACACTCATTTCCAAATACCAGTATTCATTATCAAACCAAAAAGTTTGGATCTTGTAACTAACTGGATCATATTGAGACACAAATAGATAAAACCTCCACTTTATAATTTTATTGCATTTAGAAGTACACAATTCCTAAGTGACTCTGGGCAGCTTATGACTTAAAAGAAACAATAAAATGAACGAAAAAAACTTCATACTTCTGAAAAAAAAAACCTACCTCATCAAAAAAGCCAAAACCAAACAGAGGGTCAACAACCACTCTAACTCCAAGCTGAGTCAGGTTTTTGAAAGAATTACAAATCAATTGTAGGGTGGGAGCCACATGGATTTCAGATGTGAGGGATGCTCTTCCAGAAGGCTTTCATGTGTGTTCACATAATCCACCCTCACTTCCTCATTTTGTGTAAAGGGATTGGATGCACTTCTAGTAACTAGCATTCCTGTGATATAGAAATATTTCAAAGCATAATCCCTTGTAGTACTTACCTTCTTCTTTCTTTCCTACTTTTACTAGCTCAGATTCATGACTTGGCTCACTTATCCCATACACATTAGCAGCTCGCACCCTGAATTTGTACTCCCGGTCAGCTAGAAGATCATGGGCATTGTATGAAGTGCTGCGGCAAGTGGTGAGATCTGTCCATTTCTTGTCCACTGTGTCCCATATTTCCACACTGTAGGATTGCACTGCACTCCCACCATCATACGAAGAGCCATACCATGAAAGGGTGAGGGAAGAACTCCGAATATCAGATGCACAGGGGGTTCCTGCTGGAGGATCGGGCTTATCTGCAGATAGGGAAATGTATATGCAATGTATTATTACTGTTGTTGTTATTGGTTACTTGTTGAATTTATTTGCTGCCTATCTTTTTGTGGGGATACTCTAGGTGGCTTACAATAATAAAAAAAGAAAAAGGAAAGGAGTGTGAACAGAATAGAATTAAAATAATAGAACAATAAAATACAAAATGAAAAAGAGAACACAACAAGAATACATCAATATGATAATCAAAAACAATCATTACCTCAGCAAATCCACTTTCTTATTTCTCATACAGAGGAAAGGCTAAGCTTGAAGTAAATTTGAAAAATTTAGTTTTTCTCAAGACAGCAAGTCACACTTTATAAGACTTTACCTGCATAGTGTGGGACACAAACTTGTTAGATTTGAAGAATCCTAGAGTGTTTCTGTAATCCTGCACTCATAACTTACTTAAATCATGGATTCAACAATGATATTTTATACTCAACACTCCTTACCTTTCATTTATCATTCTTATTTAGAAGACAGTAAGAGACAGAAGTGATTTGTCAGCAGGCGAGTCTTTGGTCATGCAATTATTATCCATAGTAGTACTTTATGCTACATGATATAAATCAGCATATTAAGGTCTGTGTTTCATGTGGGGCTGTGCTACCTCTGATATTTGCATGCAGAAAAAAATCTATACTACATTAATACACATTTAGTAAATCACACATTCACAGCACACATACATATACGGTTTCCTGCCATAGTGCCACACCCTAAAATGAAGGTAAGCATTTTCTTGTCCAGAGATAACAGAATCTTTCATACTTTCTCTGATGGATGAACAGATATTAACACAATTAATACAATTAAAACCAATTGAGTGTATTGAAAATTAATGATTTGGCTCTATAGCAGGCCTTTCAAATACTTTGAATTTGTTAAGGCTTTCATAGACTCTTTAAATCTCTCTAAACAGCTCATTTATTTTCTAGAGTACAAACTTAAAAATGGTTTTAGGTAAGTATTAGATGCAGTAGCCACAAATGATAGATAACATTTTGTACTCAATGCATTAATTGTATTTGGATCCCTTCTTTCCAACTTCCCTTTTAAAAGTTGCAAGTATTTTAAGGTTAAGAATTTTCTATACAGACTATTTAAGGCCTATCTATCTATCTATCTATCTATCTATCTATCTATCTATCTATCTGTATGTGTATGCATATGCATATGCATATGCATATAATAAAAAGCTAGCCGTAATTTCAAATAAAAATTCAATTTCTAAGAGTGAAGATTAATGTTTGGAACCCAGCACAATATATAACTGTAAAACTAAATCAATTTAAAAGAAACATAGATCTTCTGTTACTTGTATAGGTGCACTAACAGCAAAAGAGCAAACCATTTTCAGTCCTAAAAAATTAGGACTGAATTTTAAAAGGAACTGAATAAAATGCTTCCACACATAAAAGCTATTTTACTAAACAGTACAATCCTAAATATATTTACTAAGCTAATATAACCAATAGTAATAATGTAAGTTAGAATTGCTAGGTCAAGACTCATTGTTCCTTATGCTACATACTATAACAGGCTACAAAACCATCATTCCCTAATTTATGGCCCATATTGGAAAAGTTGGACAAAGTCAATAAGGTGCAGATGCCATGGGGTAGGGTAAGCAAGGGGAACCCTAACAATGGCTACCACCAAAGGCAGCCTCCAAACTGAGAAGCATCATGCCTTGAAAACATATGTTGAGAGAGACAAAGACAAGGTTTTGACTTCTTAATGTGCTTGCCAGCTTCCCAGAAGAACTGGTTGGCTGCTCTGGGAAACAAGATGCTCTATTTGTTGAAACATCAACTAGAATCACTGCAAAGCTCTATTTTTAATGAATGGACTTTAAATACTACTAACTTCAATGGAATCTGTTTTCAAGCATCTATATTTGGCTGCAGCTTTATGGCAAATGCTATTAATTGATATCAAAATTAATGGATTGTGTTCATGTTTATTCAGTAAGGGAGAAAAAGATTGGATATAAGAAGTGATATTTATGAATGGGCTCTGTGTGTTACTGTGTATGAATGTTAAAACTTTCTTAAGGCATGGAAGAAATCATTACAGCTGGAAATATTACAGATAAATACTGGTAGATTTATGTTTGGTACAATTATGTCATATTCATAGTGTAGTGTTAGTGAATACCCATTACTGGGTCTCTCCCTTGTGTTTTAAAAACATGGATGTTTTGTTTCCCTCTTGGCAGGTCTGATGAGCTGTAGTAGTAGCATTCACAAGTAATGTTCCAGTTTTTATTTAAGAAGTTCTTTAGTGTTTAATCTTCAAGTGTCAATATGTTATTACTTTTAATTTTTTGTGCAGTATAAGCAGTATTAGAAAGCATTTGGAAAAGAAAAAATGCAGAGTAAATTTCTCTCTCCACAAATTTGTGTTTAATTTGCCAGCAATAATAATTTTTGTATTATTTATTATTATTATTATTATTATTATTATTATTATTATTATTATTAAATTTATCAGCATTATTATGACATAGAGTAGCATGAAAAAGCATTTGATAAAGTGACTAAATTAGTGGATCAAGGAAATGCTGGTGATATAGTACATTTAGATTTCAGTAAATCATTTGGCAAAGTAAATCTCAGCCTGTTTCTTGGTAAGACAGAACAGTGTGGGATAGACAATACCACCATCTGATGGATAATTGTAGTGGGCTGACCAAACAGATTCAGCCTATGGCTGTCAATGGAACTACATCTACATGGAAGGAAGCATGCAGTGGAGTACCTCAAGGTTCTATCTGAGGCAAAACATCTTTCAACATCTTCATAAATGACCTAGATAAGATAAACAAAGGGGTGCTCAGCAAATTTGCAAATGACACCAAGCTGGGGGGAACTGCTAACAGTCAAGATTTAGAAGACTCTTGACACACTTAAGCATTGGGCCCTATTCAACAAGATACAATTCTGCACTTAGGTAGGAAAAACCAAATGCACAGGTACAGAACAGTTAGAACCTGGCTCAACAGTAGTGCTTGGGAGAGCGATTTAAGAGTCTTGGTGGACCACTATTTAAATATGAATCAGGTGCCAAAAAAGCCAGTGCATCAAGGTTGTATCAACAACATTCCCTATTGATGTTGCTTGTCAGAAAGTCACAAAAAGTGATCACATGACCTCAGAACAGTGCAACTGTCATAATTATGAGACAATGGTCAAGCTTCTGAATTTGGATCACATGATGCTGCAACAGTAATAAGCCTGAAAATGGTTATAATTCATTTTCAAAAATTATAATTTTTTTCTCATGAGCAAGTAAGGAAAAAATTAAAAGAACATACATGGACATAACTGAAATAGGAATGTCTAAGCCCTTCTTTCTAAGGATCTAATAGATTTATTCTGTCTATCCTATGAATGGTCAGTAATTACTACATTCCGTTGCTTCCAGGATGATATCGAATTATGTCTACATGAATTCTACAGCCTTCCAAACTCTTAACTGATTCATCTCCTTGGAAGTACAAGAGCTAGTTTTGCTATGCCATCCCTCATTCTACGTAATTACAGTCTGTGTATTTTTATTGTCACTTATGCATTTATTTCTATTTATATCCCACATTTTTGCCCATAGGAACACAATGTCCCATTATAGAAGCAGGGTGCACCCAGGGTAGACGAGTAAAACCTGGGCCCAGACAAAAATGCTGTATTAATTTTAGTCTACTAAGCATTGGAAATATTTAAAATATTGCCAGTAATTTCAACAATTTAAAACAGACACCATGGCCTGGAAAGGTTAAGCAAACATTCACACTGGACTTCACACTTAGATGCTCATATCATGCCAATCCTATGCTTCTTGAATTTCATTTTTCTAAATAAGTATTCCCATGCTTTCACAATCTGTCATAATTAATTTTCTGTGGTGGTTTCTGAGATACAGCCAGAGTATGAAACAGAAGGGACCAACAATTGAGCTTATCCAACAGTTTTAAAGTTAGTTGTGTTTATTTGGTTCATTTCTATATTCATAAAAGATGTAGTATGGCCTAACAAACGTGTAGGAGGACAATTATGAATGCATCTTATCACTGAAATCTTGAATTACATCAGGAAGAAGAGTAAGCTTCAAAGCTTCAATATGCTGGCTTTTAGATATTAATATTACAACATGCAGTGGCACATGACTATTATTGCAAAACTGGTGTATTTAACTTTATTAAAACTGGTTCAAATAAATGGAAATGCTGCTCATTGGGCTTTTATAGGGGAGGCTGAGATCTTTGAGAAAATCCCTTTTGTCATAATTAAAATGTGTGAGGGTGACTGCTTTCAGATTTTGAAATGCTTTGCTAAGGTTGCTCACACAAGCCTCCTTTCTTTTATTTTTCAATCAGTTTGAAAAATATTGTTATTAAGGCAAGTCTCTGTTATCTAAGATAATTTGCTAGGTGGTGCTGTTTGTGTTGCAATTGTGTTTTTAATAATGTTTTCATTATCCTTGAAACAGTAAGAGCTTTTTAAAAAGTAATTGATCTTTTTGTCAAAATCTTGAACACCAATTGCTGGTGTAAAGGCAAACATAAATAAAATAAAAATCAAATAACTCTGGGTGGACAATAGTAATATGGGATGTGGGTTCTTCCTTGTGCACATTCTCAAAATCAGTTATCTAGAGGCATTAGCATTCATTTCAAAATTCTAGCTTCACAATTCCAACAGTTTACTCACAGAATGTTCTCCATTCAAGATGGAAGCAGCTTCTCAAGAAAGTTCTCTTTAGATACCTTGGCTCCTTTTTGAGTGATCATATTACCATTCCACACCATTATTAGCTATTGAGAAACTTGCCAGCCAGATAGAGAGCAGGCATAAAGCAACAATTAATTCTTTTCCATGGGCTCGTCTGTTTAGCCAGAGAAGGTATTTAATATACTGCTAAAGCTGGCTGGATGATGTCCATGCCGACATTACTGGCAAAGGCTGCACTTGAGATTCATTTGTGGGAGAAAAATGAAACCATAAAAGGCCATAACTGAACTCTAAGTTACTGCTCTCAGGGCTTGGGGTCACTGTAAACGTCTCTGCTTTCATTGGAAAAAAAACATTGTGTAGCTTATATTTTCAAGGGAGGAAAGAACTGTAATTTAAAGGCATTATTCTACAATATATAGATGTTAATGAATTCTATTTTTAGAAAAAAAAATTGGATTTAGACAAGAAATGGGTAAGTTTTATTTAAAAAATCTTCATGTAGTCATTAAGTTCCATAATAAACAGAACTTTCTCATAAAACTGTATCTTTTTCAACACTGAAGCTACAGGGAACTTTAATTCTCCATGAGAGCTTCTTTGCTTCCTAAAAGGTGTCAGTTGAGTAGACAAATTATCTAATGTGGTATCTTTGATTATGTTATTTTACAACCCTTTCTCTAGTTAAATCTTATAGCTAAAATAAATAATTATTGAATGACAATATTGAATTCCAATGATTTCTTATGCATTTATGAAAATCTTGGAAAGTGTCTTTTCATCTTCATACATTACTATATAACTTGCTTTGTTAATATTTAGAAAATTTTAAACACTGAATTATATAATGTTTCCATTTTTTTCTGCAAAGTTGAGAGACTTTCATCAAGGCTCATAAAGATAAAAAGGTATAAGGAAGATGAGCTACATACTGGGTAGTTAAAAAACCCAAACCTCAATGTAAAAAAATGCATTGTTTTTGCAAATAATGTTAGTATTAGAACCATGAAATAGATAGTGGCAGCTATATTAATAAATTTTGGAAAGGAAGGTTTCTAAAATCTTTTATTGACTCCTTTGAAGTTACCATCTCCAAGCCAAAAATTCCTGAAAATTTAACGTACTTTCAATATTTTGTAAATTTACGCATGTCTTTATGCTATCAGATAACAAGGATCAAACTTTATGAATTTAAGATTAATATTTTTCCAGGGAAACAATTTTTTAACTTGAGTAAAAGGTGTCAATTTCCAAATTTATCGGACAAACAATTTGCTTTTCTCTTAAACAATCTAAATCACTCAATATTTATGTTTTGTTTCTCTGTCTTTGTAGTTCTTTCATATGTAACCTGGAATATCCCAACTCTACTATTTTACTTGCTGATTTTTCCATCAATACATTTTTTTGGATCTGGAATAGCCTGAAATATGCTCAAATATAGGGAACAAAAAGAGGAAGTTATCCAATACCTTTAGTCAATCAATCAAATCATCTAGCCTAGTAAAGCTGCCATTAATACACACTTCTTTCAATTTCACATTTGAAAAAAAAAGATAATCATAATTCACACCAATGGTTATTATAAACAGGCATTTTATAGCTTGTACTACTTCCTGAAATTTAACTATTTTGACAGCTCACGCTAATTTTCCCAGTACAATAATAAAAAACCTCCCTGCAACAACCTGACCTAGCTAAGAAAATATATTCTACCATAAATTATAGCCATGTTTAAAATGATAGTAGATGGTTGTTGGAAATAACAGATACAAATTTACACATTCTTATTAAAGAGATACAGATATAACAGAGAATTGTTGCTAAGGGAAATAATGCTATCTGTTGCTGTGCTTCTGGCTAAACGTCCGCCCTCAATGGCTTAAATATCTTGGCATCCTCATGAAAGGTGTTCCTCAACATCTCATACCTTCTTGGATACCCTGTGCAAAATGAGAATGGTGATTCCCCTTTTGTTATCTGGGCATTCTCAGCCAACAGCATTGCATACCATTCTAGCTATGAACAAGATCCTGACACAGGGATAGTCCTGTTAATCAAGACAAAGAAGTGCAGAAATAAACAGTGTAGTAGTTGGGCTTCCATTAAACCTGTTTTGTGTCATAGCATTAGCTGTTCACATTATATTTATAATTGTGGGAGAGCCAAATACAGGAGATTGCTATGTTAAATCTTTCTATGGTACACTTCTCGAGACAAATAAAATTACTAAGGGAGGTCAAGTAACATATAGGTGGCCTAGGAAAAAACACAACATTTTTGGAGTGGAATGTGGGATACAAAATAGATGAGGTGACTTGAGGGTCAGGCTTTAGGTTTGGGGTTTTCCATTCTGATATGCCAGTTATAGCACTTGCACTTTAATCTGCTTCTAATAACAAAATAGTGCAAAGTTTTGATCATAGAAGTCAGGATCAGAAAGAACCCCAAGAAACAAAAGGGCCTCTGAGGTCATGGTGCTCCTGAATTTACAGGTTGTTCATTTCTGTTCTTGAGATACCTCCTTGAACAGGAATACTTCACTGAAGGTGATCTCATTCATGTTAACTCAGTGCAGGAGGAAACTATTCAAAGTGAATTGAGGGAAGACTGCCCAGAACAGAAGCTACTGTTAAAGACAGAAGAAAGATGAAAATGAAAGTGCAAACCTACTGCTGCTGAAAAGCATGGGTGTTTTTGAGAATTGGATCAGTACTAAAACATTATAATAGCAGCCTTGGTTCATCATTCACACTAAAAGCATGTTGGACCCAACCTTTAACAACCTTACAGAAGTTAAATCTAGTTAATATCAGGACAATTTCATTCTACAATCTCAATCTGTATTTAGACAGTAGAAGACAGCACTCCAACTTCTTATTGAAACAATTCTTCTTATTTGTTATATATTAATAATTTCCCTTTGAATTAGTATTGCTTTTTAAAGTTAATTTATTTTACAACATCTAATTATATAGCTAATTATCTATAATTAGATAAATAGCTCAAGTACTCCAAATGAAAACACAACCTGATTCTAGAAACATGAAAAACAAAAATAAAACCAACATTTTTTGTACTTACCTACAACTGTAAGGTTAACTTGGGCTTGCTTACTACCCAGCTTGTTTTCCACTACTAAAGTATAACATCCACAATGTTCCTGCTTTGTGGAGGAGATGGTCAGCATACTGCTATTCTCAGCATTCTCAATTTTGATGTGTTCATTTTCTTGGAGCTGCCAAATTAAAACAGGTAGATTAATATAGATAGTCTAAAAATATAGTAAACTAGGATTTCATAGGATAAATATACCAATATTAATAGGAAATGATAAAAGAAGTGTGTTTGGCTGATTATAATATTCTGTCTTTTCTTGAGATCACCCCTGTATATACTCTCATGTGATATTAATCTCATTTTTAGTCAAGAAAAGCCTTAGAGAAGATATTCCTATCCCACTGATAGACTTGACTTTCAACCCAATCTCATCTAAGAATGCTTAGAATGAAGAAATTATGAACATCTCACCCAGTACAATCAAAATGTAAATTTAAAATTGCACCTTTGGCGGGAAAGAGAGAAAATGAAATTTGATTTTGTGTTTTAACAATTAAAGTGAATTATTAATATAGAAATGACTAGTAGATACTATTTTGTATAACTAAAAAGTTGATACTGTAACTTTATTATGTTTCTTACTGCACCAAAAATTGTCTGAAGTTACTGCTTGTTTCTTTTATTTCTTTTTCCTCTCCCCTCACTTTATCTCCTCTATCCCCTTTCTTTTCCCTTTTTTCTATCACTTTTATTTCTATTTGCATTTTATATTAAGAAAACACTTTTAATAAAAATATGTTTTAAAAATTTAAAGCTATGACATAGAGGATTTTTTTTGCTGTCAAAGTAAGCCATACCCTTAACCAAAAGTTGTTAATAGTCCTAATCATAAATTTTCTTGGAGACAATCAAATAAATATTGCTTTCCTTTGATAGTAGTTCTACCATTTGGATTTGCTTCAGTATTACATTTTTAACCTAAGTAATTATATTCAGCAAGAGCAAGTGGCTGTAAGTACAAACAATGTATTAAATAATATTTAATATTAAATTCTAGAAAGGCAGTTTTAAATTGCATACACATAAAATTAATGCTAACATTTAATACTTTGCTCATTTCAATATTCTGATTTTTAACCAAATTACAAAAAGATATTCAACCAGTCCTTAAAAGATTTATTGTGGATTTTATTACTTCATTTCTTTTTCTAGATTAACATTAACAGAAGAACTTGGAGCATTTACATTTGTTTGTCTTCTAACTTTGGAATTATCTAGTGAGAATTCCATATCTACTTATATGCACACAGGCTTCTTTCCACTAGTTACTGAAATCACACTAGAGACTAAGAAACTCTTATCATATTGGGAAGAGGCATCATTGGCAGCTTACACAAGTAGCATTTACTTCATCCATTACCTCCCAAGTAGCATTTTGAAAATAAGCTCTTGAGTTTTCCCAGTTGGAACTGTTGGTCTTCCCAAATCTTACTCTGGATTCCATTACTTTAGATTGGGAAATATCAGTGAGAAATTGATATGCATAAATTGGAGTCAGTAAAAATATTATTTAATTATAAGCATATAAAGAAAAGCACAGATTATTCTAGATGTGAAAATACTTGGGTCAATGACTTTTATGTCATTCCATTAATTTCCTGTTAGAGAATAGTTTTTCCACTTCATCCGTAGAGTTTCATAAGAAGTAAAGGCTATTTAGTTTGGCTTTTCTTTCCATAATTTTTGAGATTTTTTTAAAAAAATCATGAACATTGTAAATCGTGTATTGGTTAAACACCAAGTTGATCCTACAGAATAAGTCGTATATTCATAATTATCGTCAGAGAAGACAGTATTTTCAATTTGCATTGTTTTGTCTTTTCTTCAAGTCCCTTCATTTCTTTTATTAGTGCTCAGCAAGTGTTCCAGATATGGAATCCAGATGTTCCATGTAACCAAAGAACTAAATACCCATATTAGCAATTCATTTGCAATTGTGCATTAATACAATTCCTGTATTAGGGATCTTCTGATCAATGAAAATAATAATAATGGTGTGGTATGATGATACTGCCAAATTCTGGAAATCCTTGAAAAAGATATTGATTTAAAAAAAAACATTCAACATTGCAAGTTTGGCAACAACTGTTCTGTGTTAATGCATGTAATAGTTTGATGTTATTGTGTGTCCCTGAATTGGATTTCATGATTATGCTGCAGCACATTTTCCACTACAGATGATTTTTTTAGTTGTGTGTTTTCTTCTTGTGTTATTTCGGTTAAGTGCGGAAACTGTTTCGTGATACCGATATACAACTGCCAAGAGGTAGACTTAGGATGCTGTGAGTAGAGTCTCTGTTGTCCTTGGCTTTCCTGGATTTTTTTAGTCCACCAAAACAATTCTGATCAAGCACAAGCCAAGAACCAATCAGAGATAAGCCCCTACCTGCACCAATGAGAAATCCTTTTGGCTAAAGACCAATCAAAAGTCAGGTCACCTGGTTATAAAAAATGGTAAGTTTTGCTCCGTTTCTGTGGCCTGAATCTCTGAAGATGCCAGCCAAAATTGCTAGTGAAACATCAGGAAATTGTTGTCTAAACCACAGTCTCTAAACATCTGAAGTTCAATATTATCTAACAGGCCATTTTACATCAGTATGATGAAGAATATAGCTTTCTTCACCTAAAGGTTATTTTAGTTTAAAAAAAACCTATCTATTTCTATTAATAACCTTGGCTCGAAGATATGGAATTGTGAATATAAAATAATGATGCATAAGCCTCAACATTCACCAAGGTTATATTTGAGTTTGGGACTTATAGCCTGAGACAATAATAAAATATCAGTAGCTGTCTTCCACTGTCTCCATAGCAGGCTAAGTTCAGACTAAGTAATATACACTGTACTCTGTGAGAAATATCAGAAGAAATTGAGACAGGGTGCTCAGCTGTTATATATTTGGGTTAATATTATATATTTACCTCTAATAGTGTACAATACTGTCAGTTCAACTATACATTATATTTTAGAAGCAAAAATAAAAAAGGTTTTTCAATTGTTGTAAAGAGGGACAAATATTAAGCTATTTTGGATATAGTTAACTGTGTTATTTATAGTTCAATGAATATTATTTAAATAATGAGGTGATTAAAATCAGGATTGGGATATAGTAGGTCAAGAAATTTAACATTTTTTTACAGTTGTAGAGGTTTTTTTTATTCAACCTACATCTTGCAGCAGTGTAAAAAAAATTAATCTTTCTACCAGCATATTCAATTTTCAATCCTTGAGAATGGGATTGTTGTGCCTATTTTCCTTTTTTAAAAAAATCTCATTTTTTAAAAAACTAGAAAGTATCCACATAAGGCCAGCAGCATATTTAGTGCTAAATTAATATGTCCATTTCTGTGCCCCAAAACCAGAGATAGCGCTAGCACTTACTTATATACTGCTTTACAGTGCTTTACAGCCCCCTCTAAGCAGTTTACAGAATCAGCATATTGCCCCCCAAAATTTGGGTCCTCATTTTGGCCACCTTGGAAGGATTAAAGGCTGAGTCAACTTTGACTTGCAGGCAGTTGGCAGTCAGCAGAAATAGCCTGCAGTACTGCACTCTAACCACTGTGTGACCGGGGCTTATATTAATTAATTAAACATATATCACAAGGGCTTCCTTTACCACAAATGCATTCAGCTGGCTGAGGGATTTTGGCTGAGGAATTCTGGAAATTGAGATCTACATATTTTCAAATTGTCAAGGTTAAGAAACACCGGGCTAGACAGTTATTATTACCAGAATTTCATAGCTTTAAACCATTTTGCCCTCTCCAATGTATATTTGTTTACAAAGCAGCTTTTGGTTATTTACATACCACAAGCAAGAAATTATTTTCAATCTTGAGGAAAATTCCATAAATGTAAACATCTTTTTTTAGATTCCCTTTTCTATCATACAATTTATGATTAAAAGAATAGCAGCAACAATTCTATTACCTGCTTCCGAAATTTCATCCAAGTACATATTAAAGGTGGGGTTCCTGCTACTTTGCACAACAGCTCTACTGATTCACCAGACCTTACTTTCTGGTCTTCTGGGAACTGAACAATTTGAGGAGGAAGAGCTGATAAAAAGAGGAAACACTTTTGAGTATTTTTTTTCAGAGGTAAAAATTACAAAAATATTGAAGCGGATATATAAAATAGAAACCAATTGTTTATCCAGTCCCAAAGCTAGATCTAACAAAAATAAAGGATCTGGTTTATGGTTATGATAATATAATCTTTCAACTTCTATTTAATAGTTCAATGCCTGCTAGCAAAATATGTATCCAAACTAAGGAATCGGTAAACCTCTTTTGAGTCAAATTCATGAATGATCATTAGTCAAACCTCAAAGGACGGAAGAAGCTTTATAAATCTGTGCGGATAAAACAGTCCTGGAAAAGAAATCTGCCAGTGTCCTTGCCATACAATTGACCATCCAGATCCTTCTCGCTTATCCAAAGCTCACTTTGGATAGTCATGGTGAGAATGATAATCCACTATAAAATGCACTAACAACTTTGCCAGACTGTAGAAACTAATGTTCTAAGCCCAGTCCAAATTCAGAGATTCTTTACAGGGGGAAAAGCGTTCCAATTTTATGCTGGCTATTCTAGCAATCATCCTATACAAAGTAAAGATGTGGAGGCTTCCTACTTCCATAGAAAGTCCTCTTGATCTTAGGATCTTTTTGGTTTAGACTTAGAGAGCGTTTTATATTCCCTGTTTCAGATTTTAGGGGAACAAATCTGTTTTAAATTAACCCAGGTCTTGGAGTAGTTCATTTATTCCTTTTCCAATTGTTTTAGTAGAATAATAGGATCACATGCAAACCTTTCAGCAAAATACAGGGTTTAAATATTTTCAGTAAATACATACTGTCCTGAACTACCTACTCATGGCTCGCAGTCTTTTCTATACTAATAGCAATTAATGAGCAATTAATACCTGCTTTGGGTGGAGTTTTTGGAGCAGGTTTCTTCTTTACAGTTGCCTCACCTAGTAAGGAAAAAAAGTGCAGCTAGTTCAGTTGTTGAATGTTGAAACTCTTACTTATCCAACAAATATTATCATATCTTATCGTAGACAATATCAGCTTATAAATTATGCTTTAAGGATGAAACACTGGTAATCTCTACCCAAGAAGAGTTTCCTAGTGGGAAATAAATGTGTACACAGGTCACTGTATGAGGTAAAAAAGGTAAATTGCATAACAAAGCTTATGATGAAACTCCCAAAAGCTCTCACAGCTTTCTAAGTTCTTTATTTGGGTAGGGTTCAAGGTAAAAGTAAGCTCTAACACAGAGGTGTCAAACTCGCGGCCTGTGAGCTGGATGTATCTTGTGCTGGCCCCACCCCCACCCGGTTTAGCGAAGGGGGAAAAGTCCTGATACGTTACATAACGCTGCCGTGATGATGCAAGTTTGACACCCCTGCTCTAACATATCTCTTCTTATTGAGGACCTTTAAATCCACACTTTTTAACCAAAAGGTGAAGCTTATGCATATAAACATTAGGGTTCAACACTTTCCTCAGCACATCTGCAGAAAATAGAATTTTGACCATGGCCTTGAGGCATTGATAGAAATATTTCTATCCTTTTCCCTGTGGTTTGGGGCTCCTGTTCAAACTAAGTGAAGGAGATATGTTTACTTTTTTACAACACCAAACAAAAAACAAAATAGGAATTTCAGATATGGAAGTTTTCAGCTTAAGATAACAGGGAAAGATAGCATGAATTCATAGAAACTGGAGCCATGACAATAAATATTTTCAGTGCATAGTGTAATAATAAAATAAAAAAGAGAAAATTCCCCCCATAAATATTGTGCTTAAACACATTTCTGCAATCAACAAATTGAGCAGGTTGACACAAATTATATATAGCACAGAGTAACCTGACTTAGTATTTGTCTTTTTTCCATCAAAAAACAGGATGAAAATAAAACTTCATGTCATTAAAAGACTGTAGCTTTGACCTGAAGAAAAGTGCATACCACATGGGAGGAAAAATCTACCTCCTGGGCCTGCAGCTATGAAACTTTTGTCATGCCATTTGCTACAATCCCATAAGAAGAGATGTTCAGAAGAACTGTGTTTGTTCCTGTCCCAGTCTCTTTCTCCTGTTTCCCTTTTCAGGCATTTTACTAAAAATAGAAATGCAGAACTCTCAACTCCTCTAACCTCTCAACGAATAGCTCTCTATGAAGTTCCGGTCAGAGCAAATCCACAAAAATGGGGGGAAATGCATGCAACTGCACAGTGACCATCTCCTCCACATATCCTTAAAACTCTGTTCCACCAAGATTGCTTTACCCAGACACAGGTTCCCCAATGGGAAGTCTGTGCCACAAATGTATTTGGCCCTATGTACTTTTGGCCCTATGTACCTGCAAATGTACTTTTTTTTACTAACCATTTCTATTTCATGCAGAAAAAAGGCAAACAGATAGTTCAAAGCAGTGGTGGGATTCAGTTTTTTTTTACTACCGGTTCTGTGGGCATGGCTTGGTGGACATGGCAGGGGAAGGACACTGTAAATCTCCAGTCAGAGGTGGTATTTGCTGGTTCTCTGAACTACTCAACATTTCTGCTACCAGTTCTCCAGAAGTGGTCAGAATCTGCTGAATACCACCTCTGGTTCAAAGGCAATTCAAGTTGTTTGTTCACAGAGTGCCAGAGTAAATTTCTGACAAGATTTACCATCCAAAACAAAAGAAGACTGAAGTGAAAATTGAGATAGGTGAAGGCAGCATTTGGCTAGTAATATGAGAAATAAGTAGCATAACAGGGTTATAAGAGGGTTCTTGAACACTGGTAGAGCCCCAGTGGTGCAGTGGTTAGAATGCAGTATTGCAGGCTAATTCTGCCGACTCCCAGCAGTTCAATCCTAACAGGCTCAAGCCTTCCATCCTTCTGAGGTCAATAAAATGAGGAGCCGGATTGTTGGGTGCAATATGCTGAATCTGTAAAATTAGAGAGGGCTCTAAAACACTGTGAAGTGGTATATAAGCCTTATTGCTACAGTGTGAAAAAGCTGCTGTCAAAAAAAAAAGGCCAAAATCCCGGAAGTGCAAATGGTATTTTCCTTATTTTCCCATCTAGCCACTTATAGATATTATCAGACTCCTGCAATTTTTTTTCTTGAAAAAAGTAGTTCTTGAAAATTTATTGCCTTGTAAGAAAATGTGGCGTTTATAAGCTAGATTGAAGTGAACATATAAACAACCAGATTACCTTCCTTAAAAGAATAATCGTGTTGCTGATGCTTGGCCATCTGTCCTATTCTGCCAGGTAGTAAGAGAAACCATTCCACAAAGTGTCTGATTGGAAATCATAAAATTCTAATAATTGTACAATTCTTATTATTTTTATCAAGGCAATTCTTCCTAATACACACAAACAGACATATTTCATTTTGAATGTTTCTGTTTTTTAGCATGCTCATACATTATTACTCCTTTCCCCATTACATAAACTGAAAATAATCAAAACAAAATGAGAGTGAATAACACAGAGAGAGATTTTAAAATGCCCCCAAATAATTTAATATTTCAGTAATGATCAATTGGGTTAAAAATTCTAATATCAGATGAAGGCTCCATTGGGCTGAGCTCTATTCCTTGTGACCACATGATCATGTCTATTACTTTACCAAACAAAAATATGGAGGTGGTCTTCCACTACCATTTTCCAGGAAGTTTTTTTTTTCAATTCTTCAGTTTAACTCTAGCCCATGGTTTTGTGGTAGTCTTCAGTATGATTATACTCCTATTAATAATGTGTTGGTCGTCCCCTCTGTCACTTGATGATGGTCTTCTACAATGAGTTCCTATCTCTGACAATTCAGATCTAAGTCCTATGATGTTGAGTAAGACTTAATGCCAAGCAAACACTGGCCAGTATAAATCTACCTCTGCCACAGAAATAAACAATACAAATCCAAAATACATCTACAATCTGCCTTCCAGACTTCTTATTTTTCTTTGTGTTTCTTTTTGTCTTTGGGCACTTTTTCAAACAAAACCCTGGGATAGAAATGCCTACAATATTTTATTTCTTAAGAAAGCCCATAAAGCTGTAGAGGTTTTCTTATACACTAAAGATATTAGATATCATTAATTGTTCTGCAGCATGTTAATTTCATTTTAAAAAATAATTAGTTTAAAACAGTTTTTATAAAAAATTAAATGTGATTCAAGGAACCTGGTAAAGCCAAGGCAATTATGTTGTTCACTGTGGATTTCTTCCTGTCATATTTACTACTGCAAAGTGGTGTAGTTTATGTTTATGTTGTTTTGAAAACAACATAAAGAGCCACTGGAAATCATACCACAATGAATATGTGGGGTAGAGGTTGTGCTTAACCAATCAGCTTCGAGCCTCTCCCATTTACCTCCATGCCATCAAGAATTGCAGTGAAATCAATTGGGACATAGAGCTGCTCCTCCAACTGAGACATCCAAGCTGCCTCACTCAATGGAATGTTTATCAGATTCAAAATTCAAAAACATCTCCCAAAGCATTGAGAGCAGAAGGGAATGGAGGAGTTAAAAACAAGGGAAAAGCTAATTTTAGCATGAAAAAACAACTGTGTTCAAGAATTTGATTAAATATTTTGTATCTTTACCAAAAATCTACTTTAGAAAGCATGTAAGGAACTATTTACTTAAGGGTTTCTTCAGTTTTCAGATGAAATAACTGCTGTTGTGGGAGGCTATATCTCTGAATGAACTCCGATTGTAATATCCTTAACTGAGACTAACCAAGATTTGTTGCTTTCTAAGTCATTAGTCTTCTCCCCACGAACTGCTCCCCATATTCATATACATTCATATACAGTATATTGTAGTCTCCACCTCCTAGAACACATGAACATATTGCTGTGTTACATAAATAAAGGAAGGGCAAAGTCTTCTGGTTAAATTAGCAAAAGAATTTTCATGAATCCTGCTTTGACATACTTTTTTTCTTTCTGATCCCAACATGACAGAACAAAACATACTCGATAACCTCTGCCTTCCAACTAACTTGCCAACATGCCTTTTTGGATTGTCCTGTGAGTCCTCCTATTTGCTTCTATTACCTTGTTTTACCTTACATTATAGGATGCAAGGCAGTATTCAAGGCAGCTCTTCAATTTTGTATAGGAAATTAGTTCTGAATAATAATTATGAATCTTGCTGCAGGTAAAAAAGTCAATATCATAAAAGAAAAAAACAGCTTTAATTAAAAATCAGGTAAGGGGGGGTGGACAGACATTAGCCAAAATCCAGATTCCACTTGCATAGAAAAATGAGTGTGAAAAAGAAAGAGGGATGAGAGGGAGAAGGTTAAAAAGGAAAGGGCTTATTCAGACTGCTTCTTCCACCACTGAAAATAGGCATGTAGAAGAGTGAAAGAGGAAATGACATAAAAAGGCCCCACATCTTTATCTTTTCTATTGTCAACCATATGCAAATCACTTATCAAGATTTGTGATGGCATGATTTCTTCATGAAAAACCAACCATTCCTTAATGAAAGACCTAAATTCCAAGTTTAAAGCACAGGCCTGGGACAACCAGGTCTCAAAATAAAATAAAAAGATAGAGAAGAAAAAAGAACCCCCACCCTAAACTATTCCTCAGTTATTGCTGTTCCAAACTCCATAGCAGAGACAGGGAATATTTACCTCCCTATATTAAGAAAACTCAGTTGCTTAAGTCACTTCAGTAGAGATTACAGAGTTCTCCCCCCAAATCTAACCCAGGAACCATTTGCTATTTAAATTTGCCACAACCACCACCTCAGATGTTCTGGAACAGTATACTAGATTCAGAATAACAGCTGCAGATGTACTGATGTAAGATTTTGCTGATGTCCTTGGAAACTTAGATACAAGGGTCCTAATCACTTTTTCCAATCACTACCAAGTTTTGGTTTTGAGATTAGTCTATAGGTTGTATACAAGATCATCTGATGAACACCAGAAGGTCATTAGTATGGATAAAAACATT